TTGGTGTTCTTCATTCAAGATTTCTTGGAATTCTTCCGTCGTCAATTCATCTTCTTATTCCATTATGAGCTCTTCTATTTCATTCTTGTTCACCTCCAATTCCAAATGTCTAGCTGTTGTCAAGATTTCATCCATAATTTCAGGAATGTCTTCCTGATCACCTCCGTCTCCTTGAACGAAGGATGGGTACAGCTTTCGCAGTTTTGTTTCCAGTATAGAAATTTGAAGTTTAATAGGCAGGCAACATAATTCAAGAGAGACTAAAAATGATTTTTGTTCCGTTAGTTTTGGCAACCCTGCACATTATGCTCCGTGAGCCGAGAAGTGTTTATTAGAATTCATTTTTGTTCGTTATCCGAATATGTGTTCATTGCTCGAACACAAAACTCTTTCTTGAAAGTGTTCGTTGTCTGATTTGCTCGCAGTCCGAACTGTTCGTTAACTGATCACCCACTGTACTGTTGCTTGTAAGAAGAGACCTGTGCAATATAATTTCTGAAAATATATAAATACTCTTCCAAAATAAGCCCTAATTTGAATTTTGCTTCAGTGTTAATTTCATGACAAAGAAGAATGCGTTCATTGAGTTGATGTTCTTTTATGACAGCTAAAAAATTAAGATTTGTCTAACATTGTTAAAGAAAAGTAGTGTTACTGAACACGTGCATGCAATATCAACAGTTTTTATTTTAATGAATGTTCTATTATGTAGTAAAGAAAGATGAAGTGAATATACGTTTCAGTTTTACGATTTCGCTATTGTATTAAGTCATATCATTTTTAAAAGTTCAAGCATTTTATAAAATCATTAGTTTTGTTTAAAGAATAAAAAATTTAAACATCACTTACTGGAATGTTTTCTTATTATATTCTCTTAACGAAACTTGAAGATATTAAATGCTTATCTAAAAGTTCTATTTATATTATGTTTCAGGCAAGGAATTCAATTATTGTAAGATAACTATTTCTATAGTTAATAAAAGAATATCTTCACGAATTTGTTTCTCATTTTCCTGCTAAATAATTAACAGAAAGCATTACAACTATATCATAGTTAGTTCAGCAAAAGTTTCGAATTTTTTTTTGAACTCGTATAATTTCTGTCTTATTACAACATTGTTTTATTTAAAACTAGGTAAGAAAAAAAAAGTTGATACTGCTTGTAATAAAATTCGTGTTCAATATTGTCATGCAATGTTTCATATTTCTTTACTGCAATTCGATACAAAGATTTTACGCAGGGCAATCAAAGGATTTCTTACTTAAACAGCATTTACACTTCGATATTTTACTGATGGACAATATAAAGCGTTAGAATTTTGACGCAATCAATAAAGATATTTAAGGGGTATCAGAAACCCCTATACCGACAATGTTAAATTGGCCATTTTCGATGTACCTTTTCTCAAAATCTGCTGTAGATACAAGCTTGAAATTTTTTCTGTAATTAAAGTATACCTATCCGATTATACTGAAAAGAGCTTTTGAAACATTTTGAATTTTAGAGTAAATTACAGGATATTTTGTTAGGTATAGTAAAATTTAGCACTTATCTCACACAAAAAAAATAAAAAAATTTTTTTTTCTAAGTTTATTACAAAAAGCTCATTTCAGTGAATATTAGGGAACCTAATAAATAAGCCATAAAAAGTTTAGATACCTGTGAGTAGTAGTTCCTGAGAAAAGGTACATCGAGTATAAAAAAATCACGTTTGGAGAAAAAAGCGTTTTTATGTAAAATTCCTCATTGATCCAAGCAGTAGATGACAAATTAAAACTAGATTTTTTTACAGTTCTGATTTTCATAGAGATTAAAGAATGGTATTTTTAGAAAGATAAAAATGTAGAGAATTTGAAAATGCAAAAATCCCAAATCACAATTTTTTGAAGATTTTGGGGTTCTAACTCCCCTTAAAGTTACTTCTCGTTTGATTGTACATTTTTTTATCAAAAATAAATTATCGAATTTCTTGCGAGGACTGATGGTCACTCGTTCGTTTCAGAATCATTTCACTTAATATCTTCGGTTATGGAAGTAAAAGTGTTAATAGTAAGTGCCGTTGGTCAATATCATATTTGTCACAGTTGGTTTGGTTTGGTTTATTTAATTATGGCAAAGCACACTAGGGCTATCTGCCTAAGGGTAGGGATGCCTTCGTGGAGAACTTTCTAAGGAAAACTGACTCGTATACACGTTACACATGGGGAAAACCACGAAAACGCCCATGCAACCAGCCCAATTGCCGGAATTTGAGCAAGCCTAATTGGGGCGCATGTAGACTCAGGGTCTTCATCTCAAGTTATACAAGGCCATTTGATCAAATTCTTTGATTTGCCATCCCTGAAATTCTGAAAAAACAATTCCTTTTAATTGAAAAACGACGCTTTCCACTTGGTTGAGACGTTCGTAATAAAGTGCATGCCACGCAGATTACTTTTTTTTTTTTTTTAAATAAAACTTTGATGAGTAATTATTTGGTTCAGTCTATAAAAAGCGAGTATCTCATAATGTTTATAATTTCAGTACCTTAATGATTTTGTAAATTTTATCAAAATATTACACATTGCGTTGGATCTATTTATAGAAAGTGGCGGTCACATAATTTCTTTCTTTTTAAATGACACTTCAATTACGCAAAGATATTCAAGCAAATGGATTTTGAATTCTTTACATCGTTCTTCAGCTAAACTGGGTATATTATAAACAAAAGATTCCGCAGCAATAAAAATTTTGCACCTGATAAAAGAAGAAAATGTGAAAGCGCACACATGCACAAAAAAGTTATAAAGTATTTCTCCCGCTTCCCTAGAGTGCCTTCGTAGTGTAGTGGTCTGCATGCTGGGCCGGTAATCCAGAGGTCCGTGGTTCGATTCCCGGCAAAGGCGGTTGCTAAATTTTCATCTCTCCGGCTTTTCCAATTAACCTAATGTGTCTACTAACTGATAGAAGTTCTTTGGTTAGAACAGTATTCTAAAAGACATTTTGTGAATTATCACTGAGTTGTCAGTACCACAGAGACAGGGGAAAAGATGTAAAGGACTCTTTTATTATTTCAAATAACGTTTATCAGACGGCAGCAACTCGTGCTTACAGAAGACAAAAATTATGGCTTGAATTAAAGATAATGTATGAACTAAAGTTAATGAGACTAAATTTAGCCTTACAGCTTCAATATTAAAAAACATCTGATGTGTGCACCACATGACTTGCTTGTAGGGAATATTAAATTATACGCATTTTTTCTTGCATTTCATTTAAACTTATCGGATTGGTAAATCTACTTCATCGATAGCGCATTAACCACAAAACAAAAAATGCACTCTTCAAATTCACTACATGTGTTTACCATAACGACACTCTGGCGCTAGGTTCACTTAACAGTATTATATTTCGTTCATATTATAACTCAGAATGCACAAAATTTATATCATTTGAAGGAAATCATTGCCACATGTTCTATTCAAATAGTGTAATAAATCTAGAGTAATGTATAAAAGAAATTAATCAAACAAAACAAAAAAGAAACAGTTTTTCACAGACGATTCAGTATTTCTCATTCATTTAATTCAGTTATCACTTCGCGACAAGGCAAAAATACATTAAAACTCAAGATATCTGTATTAAAAATTACGAAGTAAATCTTAAACACTTATTTCCTCGAGCAAATTCCAGAATGGATTAAGCATGATTTAGTTCCCAATAATAAAAGGAGGCGTTATCTTTGTTATTGAGAAGCTTATTCTCTAGATTGGCAACAAATTTACTATTCTGCTGTTTCAAATGTAGACAAGCAATGGCCGCCATGGAAAAACATTTTACGCTTAGCGACACTTAAATAACTTTTAAATTGTTGATAATTCTAAAAATATTGCATACAGATTTACTAAAGGCATGAAAACCTTAACCGGAACATAAGAACAGCATAATTCAATCATTTTGAAAGCAAAAAATGCACAATTCACAAACATATAAGAATAAAGAGACTGAGATCACTGAGCCGAGTAACAGAGTGGATATATACATATACATATATTTGTATACTTTTGGTGCGGCCGATTGGAACAAAATATGAGGTGCACATCTACATGATATAGCAGTCCTACGTGTAAAATTTCAACAGTATGATTCAACAGGCTACTCGATTTTGAGTTATGCGAGATACATACATACGTTCGTACGTAAATTGCATTCGATAGCGGTGAAAACGGATATTTGCGTTGAAATGTGATGCCTGAAGCTTTTCGCGATTACAATACTTCTTTTTTACTTCGTACAAGGAAGTTATAACGCCAAAACTGGCTTTGATCTAAGTCGGCATAAACAAGCCTAATTGCAGAAGTAACTCAACGCAGAATACTGATCGCTGGAGACTCAAATTTAGCAACGTGGTCTTCAGACAGACAGAACACGCTCTAATTTTAATCTCTGAAACCTCCCTTTAAATACTCTCTACTTTCTGTTATATTCCGGTAGAGAAATATAAATGAGATGTATAGGTAAGAATATTAATATAAAATAACTAGTTAGAAATTTAAATGATATTTGAAAGTAATTTAGTTTAAAGGAAATTTTTCTGAGAATCACGAATGACTAGCTCTGCTTCCGGTTACATTTTTTTTTTCATGTAGTATAAATTGATTCAAATCATCCAAAAACCTTATAGGGTAATTATTTTCCGATTGATTTACTTAAAATTAACAGTCTCCTTATTTTATCCCAAGATATATTCTCAGTAACAATATGTAATACATTTCTAATTACTATTTCTTATTTTTAAATAAAATTTAAATATTTTCTGAAAAATCTGAAAACGTCCAGTGTTTCGGCCTTGATTACAGGTTTGTTAGCTCATTACTAACTTCTAATTTCCTGTTATTTTCTTTAGAGACAAAAATATGAAAACCAGCAGGTTATAGTCTATTGCTGCAGATGCAGTCATTTTTGCATCATTTTAATTTATGTTATGATACTCTGCAGACACAAAAGATGTTTGACTTACATGCAGAAGGTAGACTGAGGAATTTCTGTCATCTGGAGCAACGAAGGTGTGGAAGAAAGGTTGGACCTGATGCACGTGCAGCATGGCCAGTCGCCACTCGAGGTCAACTTCTGATTTATTCCATCGATGATCTAGAATAGGCCACTCACCAATACCAGAGTCAGTCAACAGCTCGCGCAGTACCTTCACAGATCCATCCTCTATGCTGCCTGAAATTAGTGAAGAATATTCAGAAATAAAACAAAATCACATTGAGAAAATATATTAACACAATCCTTTCTCGAATATAATTTCTCTACTTCTTTTCTACTCACAATTTAGGATGCCTTTAAATTAAACAAAGCTCTATACTCTTTGTTTCAGGGATCTATCATTCTAAAACGTTAAATTAAGTAAAGCTTTCTACTCATTGTTTCAAGGAATCTATCATTCCAAAAAGTTAAATTAAATAAAACTCTATACTCGGGGTTTCAAGGGATCTATCACTCCAAAAAGTTAAATTAAGGAAAGTTCTATACTCCTGCTTTCAAGGGATCTATCATTCCAAAAAGTTAAATTAAGTAAAGCTCTATACTCGTGGTTTGAAAGGATCTATCATTCCAAAAAGTTAAATTAAGTAAAGCTCTATACTCGGGGTTTCAAGGGATATATCATTCCAAAAAGTTAAATTAAGTAAACCTCTATACTCGGTATTTCAAGGGATCTATCATTCCAAAACGTTAAATTAAGTAAATCTCTATACTCGGGGTTTCAAGGGATCTATCATTCCAAAAAAATAAATTAAGGAAAGCTCTATACTCGTGCTTTCAAAGGATCTATCATTCCAAAAAGTTAAATTAAGTAAAGCTCTATACTCGGGGTTTCAAGGCATCTATCATTCCAAAATTTAAATTAAGGAAAGCTCTATACTCGGGGTTTCAAGGGATCTATCATTCCAAAAAGTTTAATTAAGTAAATCTCTATACTCGGGGTTTCAAGGGATCTGTCATTCCAAAAAGTTAAATTAAGTAAAGCTCTATACTCGTGCTTTCAAGGGATCTATCTTTCCAAAAAGTTAAATTAAGTAAAGCTCTATACTCGTGGTTTGAAAGGATCTATCATTCCAAAAAGTTAAATTAAGTAAAGCTCTATATTCGTTGTTTCAAGGGATCTATCATTCCAAAAAGTTAAATTAAGTAAACCTCTATACTCGGGATTTCAAGGGATCTATCATTCCAAAACGTTAAATTAAGTAAATCTCTATACTCGGGGTTTCAAGGGATCTATCATTCCAAAAAGTTAAATTAAGGAAAGCTCTAAACTCGTGCTTTCAAAGGATCTATCATTCCAAAAAGTTAAATTAAGTAAGCTCTATACTCGGGGTTTCAAGGGATCCATCATTCCAAAATTTAAATTAAGGAAAGCTCTATACTCGGGGTTTCAAGGAATCTATCATTGCAAAAAGTTAAATTAAGGAAAGCTCTATACTCGTGCTTTCAAAGGATCTATCATTCCAAAAAGTTAAATTAAGGAAAGCTCTATACTCGTGCTTTCAAGGGATCTGTCATTCCGAAAAGTTAAATTAAGTAAAGCTCTATACTCGGGGTTTCAAGGGATCTATCTTTCCAAAACGTTAAATTAAGGAAAGCTCTATATTCGTTGTTTCAAGGGATCTATCATTCCAAAAAGCAAGTAACGGTGTACTTTTTCTAAAACTTTGGGCAGCATTATTTTCAAAACCCGCAGAGGGTTTCAAAGAAGTATTGCTATTTAAACGTTATGAGCTTATAAGGTATTTTCTTTTTCCTTTCTACATGCCTTCGTGACGCAACCGTTAGCACACTCGGCGTATATTCGGGAGATCCCGGCGGGGGCATTACGGATTTCTTCAATTTCCTTTGTTTGAAAAGCTCTAAAATGATTTTACAGTGGCGACCGAACTAAAAGGTGGTGGAGGATAATTCTTTACCACAAGATTTGGGATCTCCAGTCGTCCTTTAAAAGTGGGAGTATATAAATTTATTTTCTCCCTTCTTTCTGCATGCCTTCATGTTGTAACTGTTAGCACACTCGGCGCGTTTTGTGAGGTCCAGGTTCGAGTCCCGGCGATGGAATTTCTCATTTTTCATGGTTTCTGCTTCAAAAACTGATTCAAAATTTTGCTTGAAAAATACACTGGATCCAGAAGAGCAATTTACGATTTTAAAAGTAATCTATAACAAGCCTACGATGTTAAAAATTATGAACAAGTAACTCACTTGTATTCATGCAGGAAGTATACAGCTTTTTAACTTTGAGTATGGCATCAGAGTCGTTCACTGAGACAGGTTGTTCAACGAGCTCTAAAAATATGGAAATAATTGAAATTAACAAGGCAGTATAAGCAAAGCATCATTATTGTTAATTGACTGAGCAAAGTTTAGTTCAGGACAGAAAATTGTATTCAAAACGTCGCATGAAATTTTACTCGCTCTCCCTTCCTTTTTAAAGCCCACCAGCGTCCGAACGGTAAAGTCGCTGAACACTGGTAGTTCAGTCCGAGGTTCGAAACCCACGAACGGGCTGGCTGCATGGGCGTTTTCGTGGTTTCCCCATGCGTAACGTGTATACGAGCCAGTTTCCCTTAGAAAGTCCTCCACGAAGGCATCCCTCCCTTTAGGCAGATAGCCCTCGTGTGCTTTGCCCTAATTAAATACACCACCCGTCCTTCTAAAAAGAAAATTGGTTTCATGTTTCATTATTTAATATAAAATTGAAAATATTTTTCAGATTAATTTATGCTATTATTATTTATTAATTGTTCAAATTAATTTACGTATAATTTTAATTATATGTTCATTTTATTATTAAATTATGTTATAATTATTAACAATTATCACTGTTATATGTCAATGATTTTTATAACATGTAATTGTGGTATCTATAAAATATTAAAGAATTAATTAAATTAATTAACGAAAATAATATTTAGCCCAAAGGGCCGTTAGCCCAGATGGGCTATAAGTTTCGAAACGGCATTCTGCGTCGAATGACTTAACTGCGGTGTATCACATTTCAAATTGTTACCACCAAATATTATTGCCCTGAATTATATACACTAAATAATGAAGAATCTGCATGAAAGTATGTATATTTCTTGCATTACCTACAGTCATTAAATTTTGAATAACGTAGTCCTCCACCTGAACGTGGAAACGTGTATCTGGAATTTGTTTCACTGTCTATTTAATATTTAAAAATTTTTTTAATTTAATTTCACATTTTTTGAAACGAATTTTGATTAAAAACTCAACAATTTCAAAGCGAGCAATGGCAACACTGTAGGGAATAAAACAATTTTATCACCAGTGCGCGAGACTGTCTATCGGAAGTTCTGAAGATAAGCTGTTTTTAAAATATGTTTAACCCAAAGCGACGTCACCTAAATGCTCTCGGAACGTGTATGTGTCTATACATGAAAAAAACGCCCGTTTGGGCGTAGTATACAATCTGAAAACTTTCAGATCTTCTTTTTAAATTTTAAATAATTTAAAAATAAAATTAATAAATATTTTTCCTTTTTTAACTGGATGATATTTTATTTAATGAGATGGACTCTTTGAAAATTTCTTTTTACAGATATTTTATTTTAAATTGATTTTTTTTTTTTACAGATATTTTTTACATATTTTTTTACAGATTTTCTTCTTTTTACAGAAAATTTCTTTCTTTAACTTTTCACAAATATTATTTTTAACTACAGATATTTTATTTTTTTACAGATATTTTTTTATTTACAGGTATTTTTACAGATATATAATTTCTTTTTACATATATTTAATGTGATTGTTTTTTACACATGCCTGTTTTTAAGATTATAATTCATATGGATGGAGAATCTTCTAGAACGAATTCTTACCGGTTTGGACCAGAATGTTCTCTAAGGCAGCCCAAACGCTATATAAACCCTGCCTGCAAGCGCAGTAGCAGTCGATAGTCATTCTAGCAAGTCTGATTGAAGTTCTGTTTGAAGATATATAATTTCTTTTTACAGATATTTAATGTGATTGTTTTTTACACATGCCTGTTTTTAAGACAAACAGGCATGTGTAAAAAACAATCACATTCGTATTTCTTATTTCTCTCAAATGTCAGCTTGAGTAGCTACCATGGAAGAACAGAAACTAGAACATGATTCTATTCTTGCATTTGATGATGTGATGAAAAATGTGCTAGTACTCCTGGAGCGAAAAGTACAGTTTTGAAGAAAAAGGCCATCTTATTAATGAAGTTCGGAAAATTAGAAACATGTCTAATGTTTTTAATTTTCCGAACAATTTTTAATTTTCCGAATGAAAACAGGATTAATGCTGCAGTAAATTTCATGATTTTGACATGATTCCTGTCACATTAGTAAATAGTGAATGATAATTTTCTAGCAGCAAACGTATTTTCACATGAAGAAACCTGAAGAAAACGTTTTTCGATATTATATAATAGGAAGTAAATTATGTGGGTCGTGATGCGGAATACCTAATCTGAATTTTTCTTTTCTGATTATTTGTTTATATAAATTTTGGTCACGGTATTCAATCGCATATTCGTTTAGAGTTTGTAAATTATACTGATATGTTTATGGCATGTAAAGTTATCTTTTTTTTATGTGTTCCATTTATTTATATTCCGAGAATTGTATCTAATAACTAGTGCTACTTATACTGCACATTATGGATTAAAGCATGTAATGTTTAATGAACTAAGTTTGCCATTTTATCTGTCAATTTCGGCAACTTCTTTTGCCATAACTGTCTGTCATTAATTACTAGCACAGATGGAGAAAATGCCAATATAAAATACATTATTTATATAATAATTTCCTTTTTTATCAATAGACTGCTGCTTTTTTTTTTGTCCGGGTTCGTTGGTTTGGAGCGATTAACGACGACACGTGATAAAGTATCAAAACACAATTTATTTAGCGAGTAGTACTCAGGACAGTCGTAAATGTGTTTTTACAAAAACGTTATCAGACTATAACGGTGAGGACAGCTTCACAGAAAAGCACTAGAGTACAACTCCCGACTCGATTCGGTCGTTTTCGGAACTCAACGTACTCTCCAGAATCTCCACGCTTCAACTAGCGATGCATTCGAAGATACCCTCGATAGCCTCAACGATGAAAACTCTCGGTGTACCAACTCGCAATACACTCGACGACAAACTCGACTCTAGACTACGAGGCACTCCGTAGACTCGCGATTGACTTGCTAGAATGACTATCGACTGCTACTGCGCTTGCAGGCAGGGTTTATATAGCGTTTGGGCTGCCTTAGAGAACATTCTGGTCCAAACCGGTAAGAATTCGTTCTAGAAGATTCTCCATCCGTCTATGTCATATGGCCAATTTTGTCGACAATTGAGCGATTTCTCGCCAACTATGGCAACCCGTTCTTCGTTTACAATTTTCTGACAACCCTAATCCCGCTTTGCGGAGAAGCTAACCTACCGCAGCTGGCTATTTCTTTCCAGAATTAAAACAAACAATTGTTAAATGTTCCGAAAATGTTTTCACGAAATGTTTTTGATAATTCAGTTTTAAAATATTGAATTCGAAAAACTATCAAGGAGAATCATGATTAAGCTAAAAATAATGGCTTTCTTAGCAAACTTAAGTAAACACTAGATGATTATTAATAACCTATCATTTACTAAGCATTCCTATATGTCAGTTACCAAATTTTTAAAATTTCTTTACTTAAAAATCGAATTAATCATTTGGATATTACTCATTTCTTATTCTCTTATCTAAAATGACCAGATTCCTAAAATATCTGCTTTAAATATTTCTTAAGATTATTCCGCAAAAACCACGCTTCACACATTTCCGTTTACTATGATATACACTACCACCGTGTTAATGAAGTTAATAACACTCTTCTCTAAATTTTACTAAACATGTAAGAATTTTAAGTTTTACTAACATTTATTTTATTTTAAAACTTTGCTATCCTCTCTTATTTTACATTTCCGGCCCGAATAAACGCGAACAGATTTGGCTATGCAATTTGAGCTTGCAAACCGTTAAGTATTTAAGTTATGGCTTTTAGTCAAGAGAGTGAGATAGAGACTTCTCGCCACCTTACCTCGCCTACGCGCTTTTCAGTCCGTTCCTGTCTCCCTTTGAGGCCAGAACTTAGTTCTCTTTGATACTTGAAGACGGATTGTAGTTTCCCGCATTCTGCTCACTACATACATAGAGTTTAAAAGGCCAATTTCCGCGTTACTAGTCTTTGTAAAGTATCTTGGTTCTTATTAAATTAAGTTAGTTTTAAATTTAATTTAGTTTAAGTTAGTTTTAAAGTTAATAAATTAAAATAAGTTAATTTTAAAGTTAATAAATTAAATTAAGTTAGTTTTTAAAGTTTTAATAATAAATTAAATTAAGTAGTTTTAAAGTTAATTAAATTAAATTTAAGTTCGTTTTTAGTTTTTTTTTAAAGTTTTTAAATTAAATTAAATTAGTTAGTTTTAAAGTTAAAAATTAAGTTAGTTAAAGTTTAATTTAAAGTTTTAAAGTTAATTAGTTAGTTTTAAAGTTAATTAAATTTAGTTTTAAAGTTAATAAATTAAATTAAGTTAGTTTCTACGCTAAACTCCCTGTTCCTACTCAGGACCCCAGTTATGTTTGCAAAGCCAATTAGAGGAAAAAGCAGTCTTGATAAACTTTCTTCGAAAAGTATTCAGATACCACCCTGATACGCTTAAAACCTTTTCCTAATGTTTTTCTAATAGACATTTCTATACAGCATTTTCAGTATAATGTTCTTAATTTCATTACAATTCTTCTAATAAGGACTAAAATGTAAAATTCTTTTCCGCAATTAGACTTATTTCTGGGGCCAGAAATGCCCTTAAATACGAAAACAAATGCTACTTCTTAATACTAATATATTTTGTTTTTATTTAATTTTTATAAAGGAACAGAAGGAAATATTCGCAAATGTTCGTTAATTATTCTCACTTCCTTTGAAAGGCACTATAGCTTTCTAGTACAGTGTCTCTCTTATGCAATGGTTACATGAGTATATGTTGCATTATAAACATTTGACAGACTGATAAATTCACTGAAATGCATATTTGAATCGTATAAAGTATTGTTACGAATTTGGTATTTAAAAAGCTAATGTTAGTTTAATTATAAATTAAATGGTTTTATTTCTCGCGCAGTGCAGCGCGTGACGAATATTAAAAGAAAGCTAAGCCGGAAAATTGAAAATACAAGAGCGCGTGCATTAAATAAATAAATATCTCTTTTTGATTTCGAGAAAGTACTGGAAAATTCTAGTGCGTGATTTTAAAATTT